GCACAGTGACTGTAGATGCCAGGCCAGGAGGGCACATGGGGCTCTATCCTGGCTCGCCCGGCTCCTTCCCAGGAAAATCTGATGTTCTTCCATTTCCATCTCCTCATCTAGTCCTGCTTATCTCCCTATCAGTTCTTCCCCAGAGCTGCTGCTGCTGCTGCCACCACCACTATCCCACATTATTTTTATTCCTACCACCAAGCTCTGCAGGCTGTCTGTTCTATAGCTGCAGGCCCACAATGCCCCCTGCTCACTGTGTGGTGCTCAAAGAGCAGAGCCAGCCCAGTCTGTGCTCTCTCCACAAACTCACTCTAGTCTCTCCTTGAGTTGGAAGTACTGAGCTCCTCACCCACTAGTGCAGGGCTGCTGGCCAATCTTCAGGCGCCTTCTCTGCAAGTGTATGATGAGCTCAGCCTTCCTGGGCACCAGGTGCCCATTCGTCTACTCTGGGGCACTCCTTCCAGTTCACTCTTCCACTTATGGCCTCTGAGGGCTCTTCTGGCCACCTGGGACTGGCTTCGCTCTTTGGCTGCCTCCTGCTGAATCAACTAGTCTCCAACGTCCCGTGAGAATGTCATGAACAGAAAAGCATTTACTAAGTACTTACTATGTAGGAAGCGATGTGCTAAGAGAGGCAGTAGGAGTGGATAAGGCATGGGACTTAAAGTCAGGAAGATCTGGGTTCACCTGTGTGACCTTGAAAGTCATCGAATGTCTCCATGACTCAGTATCCTCATCTGTACAATGAGGGAGCTGAGTCTGATGACATCCAAGGTTCCTCCCACTTCTAAATCTCTGATCCTATGAATCCTGAAAAGTTGCTAGGACCTACTCTCAAGGAGTTCACATCTAAATAGGGCCACCACATGTAGGAGGATTCAGCATTAAGTCAGATGGAAAGGCCCAATGGTACTTATGGTTCAGCAGGCAGTATTAGGGCACACGGTAAGGCCACAGGAACCTAGAAAAGCAAAGGCTGCTGGGAAAGGGCTGAGGTCCCAAAGGTCCAGCAGAGGTAAGGATGGGGAAGGGAGTGGGGATCCAAGACCTGGTGGGAACCAGACAGTGGAGCTTGCAATAGGAAAAGGAAGAGCTCCCCAGGCCGACTCCTATTGGTCTTGTAGGAATCCCCCAGATATGCCCATACTCTGGCCCTATGCCTCCCACAGCTGGAACTCAGATTCTGCCTCTGCTCCCTGAGGCTCAGATGGTGAGCTTTTTTTTTAACCTTCTCTTGCCTGGAATTAGACCCCTCCATGCCCCTTTTGGACCACTGTCCATTTTCTTTTTTTTCTTTTTTTTTATATTTTCTTTGTTTGCTTTTAGTTTTCAACATTTATTTCTATAAGATTTTGAGTTCTAAATTTTCTTCCCCTCCATCTGCTTCCCCTCCCCTGCGATGGCATGTAGTTTGAAAAAGGAAATACATGTACAATAATATTAAACATATTTCCACATTAGTCACATTGTAAAAAAAGAATTAGAACTAAAGGGAAAAACCACAAAAAAGAAAAAACAAAAAAAAGTTGTATGCTTCGATCTGCATTCAGTTCTTGCTCTGGATGTGGAGTCTTTGGGAATTGTCCTAGATCCTGGTATCGCTGAGAACAGTTAAGTCTAGCAATGCTAGTCATCGCACAACGTGGCTGTTACTGTGCACAGCGTTCTCCTGGTTCTGCTCACTTCACTCAGCATCAGTCCATACAAGTCTTTCCAGGTTTTCTGGTCTACTTGCTCATCATTCCTTACAGCACAATAGTATTCCATTACATTCATAGACCACAACTTGTTCGGCCATTCCCCAACTGATGGGCATCCTCTCCATTTCCAATTCTTGGCCACCACCCAAAGATCTGTTATAAATACTTTTGTACACATGAGTCCTTTTCCCATTTTTATGATCTCTTTGGGACACAGCACTGTCCATTTTCTTATTAGAACATAATAAACTAGGGGGCAGCTAGGTGGCACAGTGGATAGAACACCAGCCTTGAAGTCAGGAGGACCTGAATTCAAATCTGACCTCAGACCAAACACTTGACACTTACTAACTGTGTGACCCGGGGCAAGTCACTTAACCCCAATTGTGTAAAACAAAACAAAAACAAAAGAACATAATAAGCTACTTGAGGGCAGACACTTGTTTGTCTTTTTTGGAATCCTCACCATACAGCACAGTGCTTGGCACATAGCAAATGCTCAACAAATGCTTCATCATTCATTCATTCATTCATTCATTCATTCATTCATTCATTCATAGAAGGCAGGTGCTCACTGCTGCTGGCCAACTAGTATGAGAAGCTATAAGATAGGCTGGGCATTCAGATTTCTCTGAGAAAAGAATCAGAAGGTGTTGAATATGAAGAACACCAAATAACATCACACAAAAAGAAATTCATCGTTTGAACATACAGAAAACAGCCATCTGAAACAGATGAGGAATTTGGGAAACTGGTCACAAGCCTGGCCAGGAGGGCATTTGAATGATCTAGGAACCTGCTGATGCTTTTACTCTGGCAAAAATGCAGCTGTTAGTAATGTTCTGACTTGTCTTGGTGATAATTTAATCTTTCAAAAAGCCAAGGACATTTCAGGATCCCTCTCCCACCCAGCCCATGAGGAAATAAGGCTTCTCCCTCCCTCCCATGCCCAAACCCCAACCTAGGTCAGAGAATCACTCAGGTGACCCAATAGCACCACCTCATGGTGACCGAAGAATATACACTGATGGTTAATATGCCATGAATCAGCATTGCAGAGATTCCTGGCTCTCCCACACACACCCACTGAAACCAGAGAAACAGTGGCAGGCTACTCTATCCAGTCCAGAGCCGCACAGAGAGACAATCGGAAACTAACTGATGTGGGAAATCTAGGTAAATAACCTTGAAGTCCACCAATCTTGGATGAGGGGTCCCACCAAGAAAAATATGAATAAACAGAACACCAAACACAATGAAGAAATACTGTGGATTAACAGAAGTCCAAGAGGTAAAGCAAGAGAAGAAGAGTAATTTCATATTAAGTTTAAGCAAAGCCTCAGAGGGAAAAGAGTGACCTGGCCACAAGGACTTTAAGAATGGCCAGAAGAAATGAAGCAAGAATAGAAGCATTTGAAATGTAGGAGGAGACAGAGCCAGACAAGCACTCAGACTGCTTATTAGCACCCTGGCAACTAGGTGCCACAGAGAATAGACCATTAGACGTGGAGTCAGGAAGATCTGAGTTCAAATCCTACCTCAGACACTCATTAGCTGGCTGAGCCTAGACAAGTCACTTCATTTCCTCAGTATCCTCATGTATAAAGTGGGTATAATAATAGCATTATCTCTTGTCGTGAGGATGAATCAGTATTTGTAAAGTGCTTTGTAAACCTGAAAGTAGCTATTGACAAGCTAGCTACTTTTACCCATTAGACTGTGAGACCAAGGACTGTCTCTTGCCTTTCTTATATCCCCAGCACTTAGCACACAGTACCTGGCAGAGAGCAGGTGACTCACCTTTACAATTAAATGAGAGTCAAATTAATGGTTAATTCTTTCTCCAAAAGCCCTTTATTTCTTCTCAGCAATGCAAAGATCTAAGACAACTTCAAAAGACTCCTGATGGAAAATGCTATCTACATCCAGAAAAATAACCACGGAGTCAGAATGCAGAACAAAGCACACTATTTGCTCTCTCTCTCTCTCTCTCTCTCTCTCTCTGTTTCTTCTTTCTCATGGTTCATCCCAGTTCTAACTCTTCTTCACAACATGACTAATGTGAAAATATGTTCAATGTGAAGGTATATGGAGAGCCTACATCAGATTGCACACCGTTTTAGGGAGAGGAAGACAATTTAGGACTCAAAATCTTATGGAAGTGAATGTCAAAAAATAAATAAATTAATAAAAAATGTATTGAAGAACTGCAAGTGGTTACCTAAAAAAAAAGCCCTTTATTGAATATAATTTTATTAAATATATAAAGTAGCACTGTGGTCAGTAAGGAAAGTTTCATATTTCTGCTTTTTCATATCTGTTTGTTTTTCGAATGCTTTGAATGCCCAATACACCATCAATTTTTGTAAAGGCGCTATGCCTAGCATATATGCATTCCTTTCTGTTCCTGTTCAGTAATTGCCAGAGATCTATCATCACTGTCTACAAAATGAGACAATGTACCTAAACTTATGGGATGCGCTTAAAGTCATCCTTAGAGACTTTTTTTTGGCAAGGCAATTGGGGTTAAGTCATATAGCTAGTAAGTATCATGTGTCTGAGGCTGGATTTGAACTCAGGTCCTCCTGAGTCCAGGGCTGGTGCTCTTTTCATTGCACCACCTAGCTGCCCCAGTGATTTTTCAACAAAAGAGAAAAAGAACAAATCAATGTATTGGGTATATAATAAAAAAAAAAAAAAAGAAAAGAAATTTTAAAAAACCTAACTGAATAACAAGTATAAATTCTGAAAATTAAAGAAGAGATTAACAAAAGTAAAAGCACAAAAAAATTGAATTGATAAATAAAACAAAGTACTGGACTTTTTTTTTTGGGCTAAGCAATGGGGTTAAGTGACTTGCCCAGGGTCACACAGCTAGTAAGTGTTAAGTGTCCGAGGCCAGATTTGAACTCAGGTCCTCCTGACTCCAGGGCTGGTGCTGTATCTACTGTGACACCTACCTGCCCCTCTCCTCCTAAGTCTCCAAGCAGAGGCAAGACCACAAGCTTTCAGAAGGATTCATTTCTTGCATGGATTAGACAAGGTGGACTAGGTTGTCCCTTGCAGGTCTCAAATTCTGTTACTCTGCAACTCCAAGGCCAGGGTCCTTTGCACCAGCCAAATTGCCTCTCAACCAAGCTTCACCTGCTCTGGTGGGGCAGTGGAATTGGCATGAGGTTGACCCAAGGAGACACAAAGGGTATTTCTTGCCCCACTCATAGAAAACTAAATCATTGTAGCAGGTCAGTCCACCCCCACCCCCACCCTTGCTGCCATGGCTCCAGAACTTTGCAAACTTACTGTTGGTATGCCAATAGCCTGGACATTCTGCCACGTCGTTATTGGTTCGGCAGATATGTGCCACTCTGGAAAAGTTTTCAGGAGTAACTTCACAAAGGTGGATTTCCCCACAGCTGCAAAAGAAATGACATTTTTAAAAACATTTTTTCATTATCAAAATTTATTTCTCTGCCTTCTATTCCACTCTAACCATGAGTCAAAAAAGGAAAACCAAAACCTTTATAACATACATGGTCAAACAAAACAAATTCTTGCATGGGTCATGTTCAAAATCATATGGGCAGCTGGGTGGCACAGTGGATAGTGGGTCAGGCCTGGAGTCAGGAAGACCTGAGTTCAAATGTGACCTCACATACTTCCTAGCTATGTGACCCTGGACAAGTCACTTAACCCTGTTTGTCTCAGCTTCCTCATCTGTAAAATGAGCTGGAGAAGGAAATGGCAAACCACTTCAGTGTTTTTTCCAAGAAAACCCCAAGGAGATCAGATATAACTGAAATGAATGAACAGCAACCACAATCTGGCTCCCTCACACATTTTCACATTAATATACATTACTCACCTTGCCCCACCACTTTATGGTCCAGCCAAATTGACCTCACTGTTTCTCACATGAAACATTTCCTCCCCAGTCTTGATGATATCACACAGACTTTCTCCTGACCCACATAGCCCCCTCAGTGTCCCTTCAAAGAACAGTTCAAATGCCTCCTCTTTTTCCTAATCCCCCCACTGCTAGGGATCCCCTCAAAAATTACCTTCTTTTAATTGGAAATTGAGGGGACGCCCATTGCTTGGGGGATGGCTGAACAAGTTGTGGTATATGAATGTAATGGATTACTGTGCTGTAAGAAATGATGAACAGGCTGACTTCAGAAAAACCTGGAAAGACTTATATGGTCTGATGCTGAGTGAAGCGAGCAGAACCAGGAGAATGTTGTACACAGTAACAGCCACGTTGTGTGATGACTAACTCTGATAGACTTAGCTCTTCTCAGCAATGCAAGGATCTAAGCCATCTCCAAAAGAGTCATGATGGAAAACGCTGTCCACATCCACAAAAAGAACTATGGAGTCTGAATGCAGATCGAACATATTATTTGGTTTCTCTCTCTCTCTCTCTCTGTCTCTCTCTTTTTGTTTCTTTCTCATGGTTTCTCCCATTGGTTCTAATTCTTCTTTATAACATGACTAGGTTTAATATGAAAGTATATGTTGAGCCTATACCAATTCACATGCCATCTTGGGGTGGGGGGAAGGGAGAGATGGGGAGAAAATTTGGAACTCAAAATCTTATGGAAGTGAATGTTGAAAACTAAAAATAAATACATACTTATTTTTAAAAATTACTTTCTTTTTATGCCCAAAGGGCTACAAAAATGTGCATACCCTTTGATCCAGCAATAGCACTTCTAAGGCTATATCCCAAAGAGATCAAACAAATGGGAAAAGGACCCATATGTGCAAAAATACTCATAGCAGCTCTTTTTGTGGTGGCAAAGAATTGGAAACTGAGAGGATGTCCATTAATTGGGGAATGGCTAAGCATGTTGTGACTGTAATGGAATACTATTGTGCTATAAGAAACGATGAACAGGCTGACTTCAGAAAAACCTGGAAAGATTTATATGGTCTGATGCTGAGTGAAGTGAGCAGAACCAAGAGGACTTTGTACACAATAACAGCCTCTTTATGCAATGACTAAGATTGTTAAACTGAACCCTTCTCAGTATTACAAGGATCTAAGACATCTCCAGAGGCCTCGGGATGGAAAATGCTGTCCTCATCCAAAGAAAGAACTATGGAAGTTGAATCACTATCACTTATTTTTACCTTCTGTTGAGTTTTGTTTCATCTTTCTGATGGTTCCTCCTATTGGTTTTAATTTTTACTTACAACTTCACTAATGTGAAAATATGTTTCATGGGTAGGTAAATGTAAAGCCTACATAAGATTGTGTGCCGTCTTGGCGGGTGGGAGGAAGGGGGAGAAAAATTTTCAACTCAAAAGCATATGGAAGTGATTGTTGATAAATCAAAATAAATTAATAAAATTTTTTAAAAATCCAAAAAAAATTACTTTCTTTTTGGGGGGGTATATACTTCTATGTATCTATTCCATAGCCCTCTCCACAGTTAGGCCATAAGCTTCTCAAGGACATGGGCACCTTCATATGTATTCTCTATCCCCAATGTCTCATATAATGCCTCACATCCAGCAGATACTTGTTGATTGTCACTGCTCGATAAACTCCAAAGGCTCCCTGCTTCTTCTAGGATCAAACTGACACTCTTCTGTGTGACCCTTCAAGCCCTTCACAGGCTGGTCTTTCCACCATCAAGAATGGAGGCAAACAGGGTGAAGTGACTTGCCCAAGGTCACACTGCTAGTGTCTGAGACTGGATTTGAACTCATGAACATGAGTATTCCTGATTCCAAGCTCCGTGCTCTATCTGCTGAAGCACTACCTAGCACCTTCCCTCCTGGTATGTCTCAATAACCCTTTCTGGAGAGGCAAAATGAAGTGCAAAAAGCAGCTGATTTACTTGGTGAGCCCCAACTGGGAAAGTGGCATCCACATATTACTCTTAACCAATTCCAATTTTCCCTACCACTGAACCCACTGGCCTCCCCAGCTTGGGTTTTTAGGACTGGGGCTTCTCATTGTCTTAACCAGAGGAGAACCTCAGATGACTGTTAACTTACGGCCAAAGGAGTTTCAAAAGCAAACCGTCATGGTCCTGGTGAGTAATGGCCACTGGAAAGCTCTGATAGAGATGACAGTACAAAATGGGGAGGTTTCCCCTGAAACTGAGAGGGAAGGCAAATCTTTGTAAAAGCAAGCTGAAAGTGAGTGAGGTAAGGTCGTGGTGAGTGAATGTGGGAGTGGTGGGAGGTAAGCAAAGTGGGGAATGTGTGTTGGGCTTGGACTCAGGAAGACGGGTTCAAATTCTGCCTCTGCCATTCAGGAGCTGTGTGACCATGGACAAATCACTTAACTCCTCTGACCCTCAGATTCTCTATTTCAAAATAAGTCTAATAATACCTGAAATGCCTTAAAAGACAGACAGACTGTATGGTTATGTGGCTTAAATGAGATTTTGTAAACTTTTGTAAACGTGAGTCACTACCAACTGCTCAGTTCTACCATTTCCTTCTCCCTTCCAAACCGTTCTAGGGGCCCAGCCCAGCCCTTCCCCAAACCTGTGGCCACAGGTATTTTCCTCATGCCTAGGCTACAGGAGTAGAGATATAGAATCCAAAGGGTCTATATGGAGCTGAAAACACAAAAGAGATTTACAGAAACTGGAAATTCCAACTTGGGAACTTTTCAGCTGGGAATATATTATTTGCCAAGCAGTGGCACCTGTCAGTAGGCTTATGATGTTGTAGCCCAGCACTAATGGGTGATATACATATGCATATGTGCTAAGGAAGGCCAGGTTCTGAGATCTGCTTGGTACAGTGGCTTTGGAGTCATAAAACCTGGGTTCGAATCCCAGCTTTGACACCTATTACTTGTGCGGCTTTAGGTAAGTCAAACAACTTCTGGGCCTCAGTTTATTTATCAAATGCAGGCGGGGCAGCTAGGCGGCAAGTGGATAGAACTCTCACCTTGGAGTCAGGACGACCTGAGCTCAAATCTGACACTCTACTAGCTGTGTGACCCTGGGTGAGTCACTTAATCCTGATTGCCTCACCAAAAAGCAAAAAATAAAATAAAATGCAGGCAGTTTGACTTAAATTTTTATATTTTATTTTTTCAATTACATTTGAAAACAATTTTTATCATTTGTTTGAGAAAATTTTGAGTTCCAGATTCTCTCCCTTCCCTTCCCCACTGAGAAGGCAAACAATTTGATACGGATTATACATGGGCAGTCATGCAAAACATATTTCCTTATTAGCCATGTTGTGAAGGAAAAAACGGATCCTACAGCCCTCCACCTCAAAAAAAAACCCTCAACCAAAACTCAAGCAAAATAAAGTAAAAAAAGGTTTACTTGGACCGGTGTTCAGATTCTATCAGGTCTTTGTCTGGAGATGGAGAACATTTTTCACCAAAAGCTCTTCAGAACTGTCTTGGATCACTATATTGCTGAGATGAGCTAAGTCATTCATAATTCATCAACACACAATATTGCTGTTACTGTGAACAATGTTCTCCTGGTTCTGCTCACTTCACTTTGCATCAGGTCATGTAAGTCTTCCCAGGTTTCTGAGAACATTCTGCCCATCATTTCTTCTAGCATAACTATATTCTATCACAATCATATACCACAACTTGTTCAGCCATTCCTCAGTGGATAGGCATTCCCTAATAAATATTTTTGTACATATAAGTCCTTTTCCCTTTCCTTTTTAAAAAAATCTCTTTGGGATTCAGACCTGGTGTGGTATTGCTGGGTCAAAGGGTATGCACAGTTTTATAGCCCTTTTGGCATACGGACTTTATAACTTCCAACTTCTCTTCCAATTTTAAACCTAGGATTCTATAATCCAGAGCTCTTGTAGGAGAATAGCTGTTTCTGAGAAATCAAGAGTGGGCAAAGAAGGTCCAGGAAGAAAGAAACCCTGGACTATAATAATATCCACACAGAATTGAGGACAGAGGCAATTACATCAGGCTACCCAATAAAGAGGGCTTGAAAGAAGCTTTACTCTGGCCTTCGGAGAAAGAACTGAAGACTCAGGTTTCAGGCAATCAGAGAGTCAATGATTAAAAAGTCAAATTTATATGGAATCCTCAGCTTTCCCCTAGATCTGGCACTAATTTCATGACCTAATGACAAAGAAGCCAAGACAGAGCTCATCTGGCATCCAGAATCAGTGATGTGATCCACACAAGCTGCCTGTCACAAATTGCTTCTTCTCAAGTGGGCTAAGAAGATTTCATTCCTTCTTGGTAGAGAGGAGAGAATTATGATTGCTGGATGGGGGTGGACACAGGCAGGTGTGGTTGCTGTCTGGGGCAGGTTTTTCTGACTTTATGACAAAAAGAGGTATTTTAGGGGCAGTTGGGTAATAATAATAATAATAATAATAATATTAATAATAATAATAATAATAATAATAATGATAATAGTCCATGCAAATAGCTAACATTTCTATAGCACTTTACAGTTTGCAAAGCATTTCATACACGTTACCTCATTTGATCCTCACAAGCTCAGCAAGGTAGGGACTATTATTTACTCCTTTTTCAGGTAATAAAACTGAGGCCCAGAGTAATCCATGCATGGACAATGGTAAACAAGGATAAACTGCTTCCATTCTAATATTGGGAGACACTATGTATGTGAACCCTGGAATCATCAAGGATCATTTCTCTTGTTGTTCGGTCATTTTCAGTCATGTCTGATCCTTCATGACCCCATTTGGGATTTTCTTGGCAGAGATACTGGAGAGGTTTACCATGTCCTTCTCTGGCTCATTTTATAGATGAGGAAACAGAGGCAAACAAGTTAAGTGACTTGCCCAGGGTCACACAGGTAGGATGTGAGACTGGATTTGAATTCATGCCCTCCTGACTCCAGGGCTGGCACTTTATCTACTGCCCACTAGCTGCCCTAAGCAAGAGCTGGGAGTGGTTCTCTTCTATCTTGATGGTCTTAAGAGACCAAAGGAAAGAGGAATACAGTGGGGAAGGGGGAGGAATGGTAGGGAAAACTATCTTACATAATCTGAGTGTGAAATTAAACATCTCTATACATGAGAAGAAGGGGGTGAGAGAAAGCAGCTGACAGTGCAACCTCATTCTCATCTGGATGGAACAATACACACACACACACACACCATATACACACAAACAGTCAAGTACAAAACTACATCTCACTCAGGAAATAGGAAGGAAAGGGGATAAGAAAGGGGAGAAAGCAGTTAGAGGGAAGGTAGATTAATTAAATTAATTAGAGGGGCAGCTAGGTGGTACAGTGCACAGAACATGGGTCTACAGTCGGGAAGACTCATCTTTGTGAGTTCAAATTCAGCCTTAGACACTTACTAGCTGTGTGACCCTAGGCAAGTCACTTAATCCTGTTTGCTTCCATTTCCTCATCTGTAAAATGAGCTGGAGAAGGAAATGGCAAGCCACTCCAGTATCTCTGCCAAGAAAACCCTTAATGGGGTCACAAAGAGTGAGACATGACTGAACAACAACAGATTAAAGGAAGGATTAGTTCCAAGCAAAACAAACTCTGAAAAAGGATGTACAAAAATATTTATAGCTCTTTTTAAGATGGTAAAATGGGAATCTGAGGAGAGGCATATATTGAGGAATGGCTGAACAAATTATGACATATAAAGGTCATGGAAAATCGCTGCAATGTAAGAAATGATGGAGACAATTTCAGAGAAACCTGGGGAAACTTATCTGAACTAACACTGATAAAATGAAAAGAACCAGAAGAAAATGTACACAATGACAATATGGTCAAGACAAACAACTTTGAAAGACTTAGGAATAATGATCAGTATAATCACCAAGGGAGTGGACCAATGATGAAGCAAGCTACCCACCTCTGGACAGAAAGGTGGTGTACTCAGTGCAGAATGAGGGTGTGTGTGTGTGTGTGTGTGTGTGTGTGTGTGTGTGTGTGTGTGTTTAACTTGGATGCAGCCATTGTGGAAATTTGTTTTGCTTGAAAACACACAGCTATAACAGCGAATTTGCTTTTCCTTTGCTCTCAACTGGGGGAGGGGAGGGAAGAGGGGTGTGGATTAGTGTGAGAGGGAAAGAAGGTGAATTTTTTTGCTGACTGAATAAAATAAAAAAGTAACTTAAAAGAATATAGAAGTTTGGAAAAGGAGAGGACTTGGTGAAGATAATGAGTTCCACTTTGGACATGTTCAGTTTGAGATGTCTATGGGACATCCAGTTAAGATGTCCAAAAGGCAGCTGGTGACATGATCCTGGTTAAGGCTGGATTCATTGATCTGGGAATCATTTTACTGATGGTAATAAAACTCATGGGAGCTGATGAAATCATCAAGAAAGATAGTATAGAGGGAGAAAAGAAGAGAACCAGAACAGAGCCTTGAGGAACCCCATGGTGAAGGGGCACAGTACAACCTCATTCTCACCCTCATTCTAGATGAGGAACCAGTGAAGGAGACTGAGAAGTTGTCAGATGGGTAGGAGACAGCAATGTCAAGAAAATCTAGAGGACAGAACATCCAATAGAAGAGGGAGATCAATAATGTCACAGGTGGCAGGAGAGCTCAGGAAGGGTGAGTTCTGAGAAAAGGCCATTACATCTGTCAGTGATCGATCACTGATGCCTTTTACAACTCTGACTTGGGAGCAGGTGGAGAGGCTAGAGACCAGTCCACTATTTCCCTAAAGCTGCAGCTGAAGAGTACATCCATAATTAGAACAGGCAAAGAACTGGGCGAAGTCCATCAGCATCTAGGCTTACAACCTCCTTTTACCTTGTCTGATACAAAGAGCTCACACCCAAGAGCCAGATGAGGGCTGGAACTTCGAGCTTTATCTCCTGGCCAATATTTTAGTTACTTATTACAATCACTCTCCAGGGGGAAAGTTTGTACTATCTTATGTATACTTTGTATTAAATCATTTGTGTCCATCTTGCCTCTCATCAGTAGAAATGTAAACTTCAGCACAGACATTGTTTCTTTTCTGTCTGTATCTCTGGTGCAGCACCAAGCCTTCCATACAACTAGATGTTTGTTAAATTCAAACGCCAACTCAGCCCCACCTGTATGAGATGGGAGGGCAGAGAATGGAAGGCAGACGAGGGAAGACAGACAAGGTAGTCCAGGACTAGGGAGAGAAGAGTCTGCTGTTTTCTGGCCCATTCAAACCACCCCTCTCTAGAGCCCTGTGGCCAGTTCTGGGATCCACGTTTCAGGAAGGGCACAGGTAAAGTGGGAAAGAGGGGGAGGTAGCCAGGAGGGGAGGAAGGGCCTAGAAGAGCATGACCTGGGGGTGTCTGTTGTGGAGAAAAGAAGACCTAGGTGACCACGGGGGGGGTGGAGACACATCATAACTGGCTTTACGACTCCAAAGGACCCAGGTGTCCCCCAGCCCCCTGCCTGGAATGCTCTCCCCTCTCAATCTCTGCCTACTGGCTTCCAAATCCTATCCTCCCCAAGAAGCCTTTCCCAACCCCTCTTAATTCTGGTCCTTTGCTCTCATAATTTTTCCCATCTATTCAGTATATAGCATTTTAGTATAACTGTGTTATGTTTGCTTGTCGCCCTCATTAGACTGTGAGCTCCTTGGGGGCTCCATCCCCAGAGTTTAGCACACTGACTGGCACACAGTAGGCACATAATAAATGGGACGCGTGACTGATTGATTTCGGTGCAGAGAGGCCGATCTCCCCTGGGTCTAGGACCAGTGGTGAGCTCCCCGATACTGGAGGGCTTCTAGTGGAAGCCTTCCATCTTCCAGAGGGGATGCAGATCGGGTCAGGTCCGGTCTGGGCTCCTGGCCCCAGGAGCCAGAAGGGCCCTCTCGGCCCCTAGGGGTCAGTGGGCGGTCGCAGCTGGATCGCGGCTCCCAAAACACTCCCCGCCTTCCCTCCACCCTCCCCCCATCCCTCCTCTGGGCAGTTCCTTGGGCGCCTCTCACTGCGCAGGCTCAGACCGGGCCCTCGGCCGACCCCACCCATCCCACCCAAGGGCCTATCGCGACAAGCCTTCCGGGCCGCTGCCCAAGCAAAATCAGGCTCTGTCTCCTCCTTCCCGCCCACGGCCCGGACGCACGCCCCGCCCTCCGCAAGCTCGGCCGCCTTACCGATGTTCCCTTCCACCGAGAGGCGCCGGGGTCCGCGCGTCGGAGCCGGGCCCGACGCGGAGCGCTGGCCCAGGGCCATGGGTCCGAAGGAGGCGCGGAGTAGGAGCCGCAGCTGCGGAGCCAGCCGGCCCATAGCCATCCTCTTCCTTTCCTTCCTCCTCCTCCTTCCCCTCCGGCCTCTGTACGTGCGGCTCCCGCAGTGTGGAGGAGGGGCCTGCCGCCCCGCCCCGCCCCCTGCCGAGAAACAGAGGGCAGGATGGGGGCTGGGTGGCTCAGGCTCCGGGGTCGCTGCTTCTGCCCCGCCCAGCCTGGACCGGAACCAGAATGCCCCAGGCGCCAGCCTTCCCTCTACTTGGCCGTCTAGCCTTTGCTTGGAGGCCCCCAACCATCCACCCTTTCTCGGGAAAGTGAATCAGTCAATTAGAGTTTACTGAGGCCCTACTATGTGCTGTAGGTACTGTTGGTGCAAAGACAGACCGTGCTGTCAGGGAACTCCCAGTCTAACTGAGGCCGGAGGCCCACGCACGAGTAAGATAGAAACTGGACAAATTGAGATTATGCTGCTTCAGATACTTGCCAGATGTGTGAGCCTGGGCAAGCTATTTGACTTCTGCTTGCCTCAGTTTCATTTGTAAAATGGGGATAATAAGAGCCCCTATCTCCCAGGGTTGTTGTGAGGATAAAATAAGATAATAATTGTTCCCTCACCTTAGCTTTTCTCACCATATTGAGCTGGTGGAATGGAAAACTATGACCTTGCCTGAATGGGCTTCCCTGCCTTGGTTTGCTTGGAGCCTCAGTTTCCTCTTTTGCCAAATGTAAGAGGATTGCAACTCCTCTTGCGGCTGTAACTAGATTTGCCGTCGTCATTGCATGAAAGTAACTGCTCTGGAAAGCCGCCGAGTGCCAAGTCTGGTGACCTTAAAGAAGACCATAGAAAATAGGAAGAATGGGGGGTTGGGATAAATTCGGTGAGATCCAGAAGGGGTACTATGGAATCTCAAAGGTGGTCAAATAAAGATGGAATACTTAACTGAGTCTAGGAAGGTGAGCTGGGAAATTGATTTTCTGCTACAGTGCCTACAATAGTATGCACATAAACTAAGCTGGAGCATCTTTGATTAAGAGCTTGGTGATGGCTTGCATTTCTCTCCTAGGAGGACCAGGCTAGTTAAGTGCAGTGGGGCTCATCACCCCAGGGGTAGCTTAGGAAGACCCTGTATGAAGGTGTGCTTGCATTAAGGGATTATGAAGGAGGTGTTTTGGAACGTGTCCTGAGCAGCCCACAATAGGAATGACCAGAATTACCTAAATTACCTACAAAAGGAATTACCTAAATAACTTCATAACAAAGTGGAAAGAACTTCAATCAGATGAAAATTATGGGGAACTGGCCATTGGATGAATGCAGCTAATGGTTCACGAACTTCAAGTGACTGGTTGGGAGGGCAAGTCATGCCCGTTGTGGTCTGTGTAAAATGGGCAAGCTAGCTTTGTTCCAGAATCTCTCTGCATCAGTCAAGAAGAGAGCCAACTATGGAGGAAGAACTCAGCTCTTGAGTACACTCTTCACATTCCCCCTTGGGCCTCTTCTGGAGTCCAACAAGGGTAGGGAGAGAAAGGGATTTCTCTCTAATATCACCACAGATAATGACATCTAGTGAAAGGAGCATTTCTTGAATTAAGTTCAATAGAATAAAATAAAAATTTCCCCAAACATTTCTCCCATAAACATCCCTATTTCTATTGAGGGCTCTTCAAGTCACCTGATTCATAACTTGGAAGCATTCTTGATTCTTCCTCCTTCACCTCTTATATATATTCAGTTGTCAGATCTTGTCTATTCCATCTTCATATTTGTCATGTCTGTCCCCTTCTTTCTACTCACCCAGCCACTGTCCCAGTTGAATCAATCAACCAAGAAGCAGTTAGTAAGCCCTTATTATTTGTCATACTCTGTGCTGTCAGGTCCTGAAATAAATCAAAGCCATGAATGAGTTGAGGCATAAAGTGTCTTTAACTGAGAGAACAGGGTAGTAAACCTGCCATCCTGGGGCACGTCCCATGAGTGCAGAGCACAATGGATTTCCCAACTCCAAGACCCAGGAGGGGCAAAGTATGAAGTAGCAAGGCCTGGTCATGAGACCCCAGTGGCCCTTAGCAATCTGGGCAAGGAAAATTATTTCATTCTGGCTGTTTTTCTCTTCATACAATGAATCCCAGTGGAAGGGGGCAAGGACATTAGAAGCTGAGATCCAGCTTAAGCTAGGTTCCTTTACAAGGTAAAATCTCTGGTGGGGGGGGGAAAAATTTAGGTTGTGGTTCAGCTGAACCTAATCAAGAGTAACTATCTAGAGAGTAGGAATGTAAAGATATTACTGAAACTCTGACATTACTAGGATGATTAACAGATAGATAAATTGCTATTAACAATTTTCTGTCAGTGCTAAGTGCTGAGGAGACCGGAAAAAAAAAAAAAAAGATGTTTCATGCTCTCAAGTTAATCACCTCTTACCTGGACTGTTGCAATAATTTCTTAATTGGCATCCTTTTTCCCAGCAGCTCTCATCTCCAGTTCATCCTTAGAGGCTAAAATGATAATCTTAAAACACAAATCTGACCATGTCACTTCCTCTGTCAGAAAACTTCACTGGCTCCCTATTTCCCTCATTGGAGTTCTTCAATCAGAGACGCGATAGCTTGTCAGATATGTTATTGTAGACATTGCTTGTATGGATTCCATTAGACAGTTGCTGAATTTCCTTTTAAGTCTTAAACTCTGTCATTCTGCCTCTAGGATAAAATAGAAACTCTTCAATCATTTGAAACCCTTCTCGATTTGGCTCCCACCTACATTTCCTGCCTTATTTCACATTGCTTTCTTTCACACCCCCTCCGTTCTAATCAATTGGCCAACTGTATGGTGGATGAAAGTCCTTCTCTTGCCTGTGAGCCTTTGCACTGGCTACCCTTCAGGGCTCCTTGTTTCCTCCTTTTATAATCCTTGGCTTCCTTTAAAGCACAGTTGATGGGCCAGAGCTCCCCAGTTAATGCTTTCTCTCTCTCTGGCTCTCTCTCTCTGGCTCCATCTTTGTCTCTCTCTCTCTCCGTCTCTGTCTCTCCCTCTTTCCTTCCCTCTCTCCCATTTTTGAAATTTCTTTCTATTTCCTTATGTGTACTGGTGCTATGTCTCTCGAATATATCGAAAGCTCCTTGAAGGCACGGACTTTTTTCTGTTTTTGTATCTCTGGTGCCTGGCACATAGCAGACATTTGATCAACGTTTATTGATTTGGATTGAACTGAATATGGTCCCACTCCTCCTCTGTAAATAAAGCAGTTGGACTAGATTATTTCCTTTCTCAATCTATGGGCCCGTGATAATGCTGAACCTCAGAAAAGTTGCCCTGGGGCAGACATGAGACTCAGATCCAGGTCCCTTGACTCTCCTAGTGCAGTGCTCTTTACCGTGTGACTCCATTGCCTTTCCAGTCACCTGACCAATGTGGGATGGACCTGGTACTAAAAAGAAATACTTTCAGCGCATCCCAGACAAGCTCAATTCTGCCCTGCTTTGCCCTTCATCTACCTCTAAAGCCTGTTCCCAGAATTGTCAGGCTCCTAATTTTTAATATGGAAATTGACTCCTTGCTCAAACGAGACCACCCCAGCAGTCTGAATGATCCTGGGGAAAAGATTTCCACAAGGCACCTTTGTGATGCTAAATTAAGTTCTCCCCCTGCTGGGATATTGGGGGTGAAGCCACAAAGCAGTTGCATGTGCACACAACTATTTCCCCTTGACTATTTTATCTGAATTGGCCACTCACCTTTCTCCCACTTGCTCTCTGAATAGCGCTTCAGATCCAGGCCTGGAGAATAAAGGGCTGGCTCTATCCCACAGAGATGTGACCCTGGGTTATTGATTTCACAGTCCTTTATACCAGGTCCTAGGGAACCATGGGAAAAGAATGGCAAGCCATCCAGGTACTCCCAGATCCAATAGGGATGGAAATGCTTAAGAGAATGGCCGGCTCCTCACCATGGTCTCTTAAGAAAAGTAAATTTAGGGGCACAGAATCACTAAGTCAGGAAGGATCCCAGAGGCCATCTGCTCCTGCCTATATCACAGTGCCACACCATGTCTCTGACCTTGTACATAGTAAGCATTTTATAAATATTTGTTGATTTAAATTAAGTCGAATGACACTGACATATAGAAGACATAAAGAGAGAGCAACATAGTGAGTAGGGGGAAACTCTCCTCTGATTTTCCTCTGTCTGTATCCCCAGCACTTAGCGTAGGGCCTGGCACATATTAGGCACTTGATAAATGTTTATTGACTGACTGAGTCTCTTCCTTCCCCACCCCCCTCACATTCTTGAGTTCTAGTCTTGGGCAGTGCACTGGGATTGGAATCAGAAAAACTTGAGTTCCAATCTGGCCTCAGATACTTACTAGTTGTGTGACCTTGGACAAGTCACTTAACCCTATTTCCTTCAGTTTCCTCATCTGTAAAGTGAGCTAGAGAAAGAAATGGCAAATTGTTCCAGTATCTCTGTCAAGAAAACCCCAAATGGGGTCACAAAGAGTCAGATATGACTGAAACGACTGGACAACAACAAACAAAAATGTTGGGTCCCCACTAGCTGAATGGATTTGAAGTCAGATGACCCAAATTAAAATCTCAGCTTGGCTACTTATCGATTATGTGACATTAGTCAAGTCATTTCCCTTAGTCTGACCTTCTGTTTCCTCAGCTCTAAAATGAGGGGTTAGATTAGATGAGCTCTGAAGACCTTTCCAGTTCTCAATCTGTGATCCTTGAGGGTAAAGACTAGGTCATTTTCACCTCTGTATGCTCAGCACCTAGGACAGTGCTTTGCACTTTAAAATCAGACCTATGATTTATTTCTTTGGTACAGGGAACTCTTAGTGAAGGCATTCCCTCTACCTATGTAGGTCAATGCCTACTCTGCTAGCAACTTTAGAGCTTAAAACAGTTTCCTGGGGGCACTGAGAGAGTAACTCACATAACTAGGTTATACAGTTAGTATGTGTCAGAGGCAGGAATTGAACTTGTCTTTCTGACGTGGAAGGCAGCTTTTTAGTCACTATTATACACTTCTGCTCTGTCTTGCCCACAGTAGGTACTTTAAAAACACTTTTTAATTCAATTAAATTCCAGAAAACTGATGTATTTCTCCTTCCTTCTCAGTCTTCATGCTCTCTATTAAGTGACGAAGTCCAGCCAAAAGTTGAAAGAAAATTCTGGCAGAATGAAATCAGTTAACCAAGAAGTCTATGAGCATTTATTGAGCACGCAGTATAAGCCAAAGACTGCCCATGTCACTATGCCAGAAGGTATCAGAGATAAAACCTGAACCCAGGTTTTCCTGAATTTAAGGCCAGTTTTCTAGTGCTGTCCCTCACCACTTCTTGCCTTGTCCATGGTAACAAGGGTTAAAGTTATGTTTGATAACTGTTTGCTTCAGTTTAATTGAAAATGAGACAAATATGTGGGGAGGTGAGAAGGGG